CCTTATTTTTAAATCACTACTGAGTTAACAGATATTAATGAAATAACAAAAGAATGATTCACCAAAAGACAATGCAAATGCCTATGCTGTGGCTATATTCAAAGAATGCATCTATGGAACATTAGTCCATGAACTCTCAACTTGTCAATGTAGTCAACCCTCAGTCTAAGCAATAGTTGCTAGGCAGGCACTCTGCCACTTAAGTATGTTGTTAGAAATAACGTGTGTATTATCTTGGCATTTATAAGGACAAAGACAATCTTACCTATAAACAGGTACAGTAGTAATAAATGAAGCAGTGGGCATAAAGAAAGCAATTTTTTTTCCTCATCCGGTCTGAGTGTCAAAATGATTGTATCAAGGGCCAGGAGATTAAATTGTGTTGCTTGTCAGGAAATTGGCAAGCAGCCATTCTTTCTGACTGCTTTCTGCACTCTGCTCTTGTGCAATGGATGAGTTTAATAAATGCACTGTTGTGTAAAATGTCACTGCTGCATTGCTGAGTGGAAGGTATCATATGACAGCTCTTCCCCTACATGACCCATCAATATTGGTCCTTGCCAATCTATGGACGTCGAGCTACATGGAGGGCATTTATATGATTCAGATATAAAGATAGAAATAAACATCAGTCTTAAAGGCATGGAAATGCATCTACTTCTCTCTGAAAGGAACACCTAATGTTCTTTCTAAAATGTTCTTATTTGTGAAGCTAAGTAATGCTACAGAATTTTAATGACTACTTCTTAAAGACAAAATATAAATGAACAGTAACATTTTTATTAGCATTTGTTAGTTTTACAAGAGGGGATTCCTGGTGATGTTTCCACTCACATAAACAATGTATCCTGATCAAATTTATCCTGTTAGTCTCCTCTATTCCACTCCATATACTTAAAACAATTTTAATAGGTCTGTTCTATTTTCATATATGCAAATATGTTCCATATGAATATTCATCTTCATTTACTCTGTTAGTCCTCTCTGTCTTTCACTGGTGCCCTTCTCATCAGAGCCTGCATTACATTCCTGTCATTTGTCCTCTTTAGTATATATGATTTGTACCAAGGATTCTTATCATGGTATTTCAAATGTGCATGTATCATATTATCAGGAAAACTCTATTGCATTCTCTTTCCTTGCATCTTAACCCCCAACTTGTCAAAAGATTTCATTGAAATGCTTTATGTCATAGTTGCAATGTATTTTAAAATTATTCACCCAGCATCTTTCCTTATCCCTTCCTACTTCCCCTTCATGTTCCTCCTTAGTCTTATATTCATTATTATTTATTCTGTTTGTGTGTCTGTCTCCACACACACACAGACACACACACACACACACACACACACACACACACACACACACACACCTTGAAATTCAGATCCACTAACTCAAATATTATAGCCTTTTGCTTAATTCTCTTTTCTGGGACAACCCCTGAGATCAGAGCTCAGTTTGGAGTCTAGCCTATTGAAGAGTAAATTTCTTCTCCCTATATTTGTTCCTTAAACCTGTGCCCTCACTTTTTGGTGGGGGATAAACTTTATCATACACAGTGAAATAGTCACAATGATCCTAGGATATCTAAGCTGGTGTATATGTTCATGTTCTGTCTGCCACTTCCAGCTTTTCTGCTGGTCAGTTGGTGATCAGAGGAATTTTCACAGCATTATTTGGCTGTCACCATTTTTGGATGACAGAACAGCCATTCAGGGAATTTCACTTGTTTAAGATCAAGCATATTAGTATATAGCCATCAGCTTGGCACTGGTGGCTTATTCTTGTAATCCCAGTTACTCACAAGATCTGACAGATTATAATTTGAAGCCAGCCTAGGAAGAAAAGCTCACTAACTTCCATTTAAAAAGATGGCTTGGAAAGCATGACTCCAGTAGTAGAGCACCAGTTGAGCAATCTCAAATCCCTAAATTCAAGCTCTGGCACCAGCAAAATAAATAAATGAATAGATGTCAAAATTCATGGTTCCCAGTGTTTATGAAATGTCATTCTCACATAAACTCCTTTAATGTTTAGATTAAAAAGCACACCTCAGAATTTATTAGTTTAACCTCAAACACTGTTCCAATCACACTGAGTTGTTTAGAAGGGCTTAGTTGGGGCCTGAGTGCTGCTATGTCTTAAAAATATTTTAGAATATCATTATTTGAGTTAAGATCTTTGGATTTTAGCTAATGCAGAATGTCAAGTGTTTTATGCTTCAAGATATTACTCTTTTGAACCTCAATATCACCCTTTGTAAAATGAAGGCCTTGGACTAGATCAACTGGCAATTTTAAAATAATCTAGATTTAATGTCACACTGGCAGAGTTTTAATTGATTGTTCTTCACAGTTTTAGCATTTGAACCCAGGGTCTTCTGCTTGCTAGGCAGGTACTATACCAGATGCTTAGCACTTTGTGCTTCAGTTATATTTTAGAGAATCATTTATGTTTGGGGTTGGCCTCAGAATGTGATTCTCCTATCTCCTATCTCTGTGCCCCACACGAAACTACCACACCTGGTTTATTTGTTGAGGGAGGGGTTCACTAACTGTTTTGCCCTGTCTGGCCTCAAATCACAATCCTGATCTCTTATCTCCCTGTGAATCCAGGTAAAAGCCACTGTACCAGGCCCTGACTGTTATTCTTGAGCTCTTATATACGCCCCCCCCCCACATTTAAGTGCATGGTAGCAGCAGGAGCTAAGGTCTACCCAAATAAAGTAGAGATCTCATAGCTATCTTCACATAGGCTAAACCTATAATGTAGACTGGGGAAGACAAGTACTTTGTTGCTTCACTTAAGACCTCTGTACAGAGATTTTCAGGTTGTGCTCTGTACAATCCTAGATGCAATCTGTACACACACAGACATAGACTATTTCCTGGATCTGGGAAGCCAGAATGAAGGCCAATGGGGAGAGGCTAGAACACAAGCAATCATGCTTCCATAGAAAAATAATACTAAAATTCCACAAAACTTTAGCTCTCATTGTAGTTATTTTCTTGACAACTATCAAATGAAGCTTCCAGAACAGCCACTGAATCTCTGAAGACAGTAGAGTGCCTTTCATGCTGGCAGGCAAAGAACAATGTCACTTTCAGAGATGTCACTTTTCATTCTTAACTGCAGACAAGCCTTGTGGCAAAGTCTGTTCTATCTCAAACCCAGAGCTGGCATTTGTTAAGGGACGGATGGTCCCTCACGTGCAGGGAGAACGAATGGTTAGAAATGATGAGCACAGTCCATCAATTTATGAATCATTCAGTTTCGTCAGGATTCGATATTGAAAAACAATAAATTCCTATGACTTGTAGAACTGCACAGCAGCCGTTTCCAACGTTTCTTCAATGTGGTCTTTACTGAAAGTAATACAGACAATCTCACTAAAATAACTATTGTCATTAAGCATGTGTTTCCTGCGGAAGCATAGGAAATGCAAACGTGCTTTCAAAATATGACTCTTCTTTACAAGCTGTCAAAAGTTATCAGCCCATCAGGACAACTAGGGAGGAAGCATGGTTGGCTATTTCAAAAGGAACACACAACTAGCTTACTCATGCATGATGATCACATAGATGAACATTTCTACCACTCAGATCACATTCCTCAGTGACATTCCCTGAAACTGAATCATCCTCACTTACAGAATCTGCTTGCAGATGGGACAGACTCTCAGTGACCAAGCTTGAGTCAGTATTCTCTGAGTCTCCATTTGGCCTTGACCCCAGACTTTCTCTCTGGCTCATTTAGCCCACTTTTTGCAAGAATTCCATCCCACTAAATCAATTTAGCTAAACTGTCTCACCCTAGTAGCTGGTCAGTTTCTTCATATTCCCTTGGCCCACTTTCAACAAGAATCCTGTAAAGTCTCTTAGAAGAATCCTTCTTATTCCTGTTTATTTTTCTAAGTGACTTTCTATCCTCTAAAACTCAATCTTCTCATTGGCCTTCTCCCTTTTCTCTCTTACTATAAGATGTCCAATGTAAATCCTTCTTAAACTTCCATAGAGTGTTTAGCAGGTGTCATGAGTCATGTCCTTCCAATCACTCTTCTTTTTCTTTATTTATTCCAGAATTTATTGAGCCATCGATATCTATATTGATAAAAGGCAATAGATTTGGCACAGATACAGATTATCTGCTTGACCCAGTAGCAGTGTTTTAATTGTATTGGGACAAGTCACCTCTACAGGGAGATCTCCCTAGGTTTTTGAGCCTGTTGGCTTTGGTTTTTATTATTAACTGACAATTAACATCATTTACTAATTGTCACTTTTGGAAGATTATTCTTTAAATATAAAAGCCTGATTTAAGCAGCTACTAATGCACTAAGCAATATCTTTGTGTACTCCCCCACTCAAACTCAACAGGGAGACTTTTGCAAATTCAAGTTGTTTTCTCTCTTCTCTATGGGATGGACACTTGCTCTTTCCTTGGTTCCTACCTCAGATTTTTAGGGTTAGTGAAATTTTAATCATGCTTTAAGACCCATACTGGAATCTTCCTGTGAAATTATTTCTGTGACACACACTGCCTCTAAACATCTAGAAAAACCCTGGTAAGTGCTTCTTATATCCACAAACACATACAGTATCTAAGCATTACATCATTTTCTAATGTTGCTTATAGTGTATTATTTTTATATATTCCATTATTTGTTCACTGATTCATATTATTATTCTTTCCAATTAGACTGAACTCCTGTGGTAACAAAAAATACATCTTCATCCTTTCTTCCTAATATGTGGGCCAATATTACATTTGGTAGCCATTAACAAATTAAAGAGTAGTCAAAATTTACTATAAAACAAGACATTCTTAAAATCATTACTGGAAACTTGCATTGACTTCTTTCTCTTGCAAGTACATAATTTTTACAGTTTATTAGTCTCCAAAGGTACCTCTTGTGGAGGTAGCAGATCAGTGTTCCAAATCATTGTAATGTTTCAGATCTAATATTTTTTTTCAAAAACTTCTAACATCTCAGAAGTTACCTGAGTCTGCCATCCTCAGCTGCAGCACCTCCTGGTATAATCTTCGTAATAAATATGCCAGGGTCATCTCCAATGTGGGGGTTATCTGTCCCTCCAGCAATACTGAATCCCAGGCCAGAATTCCCCTGTAAAAACAATAAGCAGACATTAGGTAATGTGACTGTCACTTAAAACCAAGTTCCTCTTGCACTCTCTTTGTTCATGTTACTGCAGAAATAGAAATCAGGTGATAATAACTGGGCATGCAACGCCATAAAATGCACAGTCAGCAGATAAAGGAAGGTCAGGAAAAAAGCATGCTTTTGTCCCTGGATTGCTACAATTCAAGAAGCTATACTTTCTTTTTTCTTTTGAAAAGGTGGTTCCTTTGTAAAGCAGTGAAAATGACCATTATGAATTAGGAAATGGGTGTCCAATGATACAATATTCAAAATGCATAAGTCTTAGAAAGTCTATTGTAAGCTATTCATTCCTACAATGAAATTTCCGAGAATAGCGAAATGTGGGTGTTTTTGCTTTGTGATTCTAGGTTTGTTGTCCTAGTATGGCTTGATCATCAAATATGTGTGTTTTATATTACATACTTTGGCCTTAGAAAGCAAGAGAACTCTAACATGTGAGAGAAAGAGACCTTCAACAATGAACCCGCTTTAATTGGCAGTGGCAACAGACAAACCGTTATGCTGCTGCATGCAAATTGTAGTTTATATTCTAATAAACCTTTCATATGTTTGTAGATTAAAATTGATGTCTATTATGCATTGCTTGTATGTAATGCATAATTAAGACTTCTCTCAAAATTCACATGCCATCTTACTTAACACATTTCTGATTGATACATTCTCTTTTAAACCCACATCCATGGCTACATTATATTTCCATAATTGTGTTCTTATATTTTCTCAATTCATTTTATATTTTAAGCTTTCTCTCTACAGCTAGTCAATCTTTTATGTGTCCATTTAAAATGACTAAGTAATATTTTATTAAGGTATCATGTTATCATTTCTTTCAATCATCTCTCAGTGCTAGATACTTTCTTTACATACTTTCATAACATGTGTAGCTTACTAAATTTATGATTATTAGATTAAGTTCTATGCTTTGGTAAAAAAGAGAAAAACTAATAATTTAATAGTTAATCCAGAGAAATTAATTAGGACACTCAATTAGCCAGAAAACTTCAATGTCAGGATAAAGTCAGCCATAACTTGATAATTACAGCACTATAAATATCAAGGTAAAGTTTAGAAAATGTTTACTGACTGAATTAACAAGATAAATTCAAGAATGTAGTTTCCACATTGTATATTTTTTTGCAAGGTTGAAGTAAGAAATTTATCTGGAGCAATTAAAATGTGAACTAAAATATCTGTATTCTTGACATCTCTAATTTTTCTTACTTTGTGGAAAATTTCCAAAAAAATTCTTTGAGCAGAGATGGTGTGTACTAGCAATCATGGAATCCTTAGTTTATTTAATATTTCTTAGATACAGGCTTCATGACACTAGTCAAGCCCAGAGGGTCAACAGTGACTGGCAGGATGACAGGCAGTAAAAGAGAATTACAGAGTGGCTAAGGAGAAAGCCAGACACAGTGACAGCCTCACAGGGTTGCAGAGGGTAGAGCAGAGAAGCAGACTAAAGAGTTTTTGCAATGCCCCTGCCATGGGAAAAGGTGTAACAGATCTAAGAAACACAAAGCAAGGACAGTGGGATATCCTTCCTGATTGGATGCATGTTAATCATGAAAGACACCAGAACAGAGAGAATGTGAACCCATTTGGCATTCATAGGACCTAGTAATATCAATTGTCTACATAAGTATCATTTGAGTATCTGTTATTTGATCTTAATCTAAAACTCTGAGACACTTAGACCAGATGCTTCTGCCTTTATGGAATCCCAGGCATAGTAGAAAAGGCATTGGCAGTCTAGTCTCTGATGATGAAGACATTTTATGTCCTATATGACCTTGAGGGACACTGGCAAATGTATGTCCATAGAGGTAGCACATAGGTGACTTCAAGATAATTCTCTGCAGTCCAGCGTTTGTAAGAAGAAGAGTATCTTCAACATCATGAAGATGAGTATCTTCAAAATCATTTGAATGAAGCTCTGATATTATCAGCAGTAGGACATTGGTGTTGGTAGAGTTACAACCCCAGGGATTGTGATTTCTCAGTTAGTGTGGGCAAGGAGGGAAGGAAACACAGTGGGTTATACCTCAGTATGTTCTTTTGAAATAATCAGAAAGTTTGGAGAGGGCTGGATCTTTTGTGCACAAATTGTTGGCCCTTTTCTGCTAAAACAACACTGCAATCCTCTCTTGGCATTTATTTGTGCTGTTTTCGCTACCAAAAATTTTCTGTCTCTCATTCAACCATTCCAGTTTTCCCACATTTTCTAAGATCTAGTTCAAGTTGCCTTGGTTCTACATAGTGCTTTAAAATTAATTTATATTATATATTAACAAATTATAGACTACAAAGGGATGATATGATTTCAAAATACAATTTGGAAAGTTATCATATCTATCTCTTCAAATACTAAGCATTTTACTTGTGATGAAATCAATAGAGAGTACTCTTGGCCTTACTGAAATACCTAGGACTGAGTAGTTCTGTTCATCCTGTTTTCCAACTGATACAAAATTTCAAACTTATGCACATTTTCACAATATTAATTCTTTCCATCCATGATGAACACAAGACAATTTTTTATTAATCCGTGTCTTGTTTTCTTTCATTAGTGTTTTTAATTTGCAATATACAAATCTTTCACCTCTAATTATTTTGTAGCTATTTCATTGTTGGTATAAAGAAGCACCACTAATTTTTGCATGTTGATTCTGTATTCTTCAACTTTCCTGAATTTATCATTCATAACACAGTTTAGGTGGAATCTGTTATGTTTTCAAAATATTAGGTCATGTTATCTTCAAATGGTGACAATTTAACTTCTTTTCTAAGTTGGATGTTTTTAAATTTCTTTTGCCTAATTGCTCTGGCTTTGATTTCTAGTACTATATTGAGGAGAAGTGGTGAGAGTTGGCAGCCTGGGCTTGTGACCTAGTTCTGAAGAAAACTCAGCTTTTCCTGGCGCTGTGTGACAAATTATAGATGTGGGCTTATCATTTGTCATATACGGTTGTTCATGGGTTGAAAATACATTATTCTATGCCCAATTTGTCAATTTTTTTTTAAATTCTTTTCTAGGCACCAGTGGCCTACCACCTGTAATCATAGCTACTCAGGGGGGCTAACTCTGAGGATCATGGTTTGAACCCAGTGTAAGCAAGAAAGATTGTAAGATTGTTACTCCAATTAACCAGCTAAAAGCCTAAAGTGAAACTGTATTCAAGGGGCAGTACCGGCTTTGCGTAAAAATGGCCCTATGTTCAAGTCCCAGTATTGGCACAAAAAAGTTTCTTTTATATCATTAAAGATTGATAAATTTCATCATTTTATTTATATCTAATGTGATAATCAGATGATTTTAGTCTCCCATGAATTTATGTGGTGTATCACAGTTATTAATTTGCATATGTTGGACAATCCTTGTCTCCCAGGAATAAATATCACTTGGTTATGATGAGTCATATTCTTAATAAGTTGTCAAAATTAGTTTGCTCCAGATAATATTAAAGGATCATTCTAACTCTCTTAGTAGGTCTCATTTCACTTACGTTTACCTTCTTTATGTATGCTGATATTTTGTAGCGCATTCTCTAATTTGTAACATTTTCCCCATTTCTTTGGTGACAGTCTTCTGCAGAGTATTGTCAATATATATTTGATAAATGAATAAATAAACAAACTTCTTGAATTGTATGTGGCTTAAAAGGAAGACTCAGAAAGAAAACAAGGGAAATACCCAATGTGTCAGTGAATAAAATTTAGCTGTGTGGCTATAAGAACAGAGCTTCCGAATTAGTATGTGTGGTTTGGGAAAGGATGGAGTGCCCTTCACTCAAGAGGTATTCTGGCTACTGACTATACTTGAGGAACCCAATCATCTATTTACACATTAAACTGGATGACTTTAGAGGGCTCTTTTGGGACTTTGGCTAGTATTAGGAAAACTACTTTTGCAACAGTGAAAAAGAAATGGTTTTAGATATTTTAGCAGGGGAAATAGTTCATTGTTGTATTGTTAAAATGTATTGTGATTCAACATATCTTTGAGTAACAGCTCTGACAACAACAAAGGAACACTGTAACCACAGTTTTTAGAATGGAGAATGTGGTGGCTCCAGAGTTCCCTGCTTATATACATTCCCTGGCCCCCAAACCTACTCAAAGGCCAAGACAGAACAGATCAGGAAATCCATACTGGAAGGAAGTCGATGTAAACACGCTAGAACTTGCCCTTTGTTTCTGGCTTCAAGAATTCCAGAATGCTTTCTTCATAGTCCTATTAAAACCAGTCTGCCAGCTAGGTCTAGCTTAGGCCCTCTTGTTTAGAAGGAATTCACCCAAATTCAGCTAGGAAAATGATTTGAAGTGTTTTTCTCCCTCCCCTTACCCTTTTCTCCTAGCTTTTGCTGCCAGCCCGCAGCAAACATTCCATGGAACTGAGGACTGAAAAGAGCAGTCATGAAATGGTTCCCTGCTGTTCTCCTGGGCAGTCATGTCAATCCTCTGACAACCATGTCAGAACCTGCAGCTGCAGGGACACATCTCAACTCCTCTCTGCTGAGCAGCAATCTCTCCATGTCAACAGGCAGACCTCTGGCTGACACCCTTAAATCCTGAAAACTGTAGCTAATTAACTGGATGTTTATGGAAACTTAGAGGTGCCATGCTGGTAAGGGCAGCACCTGTCCATAGTTCTGGGTGGGCTGCTGTGTTCTTCTTGGGGCAAATTCATGACTGATCAAGGTGGCTGGCACGGACCAATTCTCCATATTTGATGACTCTCCCCCAACATACGAGGCAACTGTCTAGTCAAATGTCACTTCTGGTTTCATGGGCTTCATATCTTCTTTCATAGAAGGAATTGGCACAATGGAAAAATCACTTGACCACTTAATTTCTTATTGTAAGTATAAATATAATGTCTCAGGAAAGCTCTTTGTTTCATTATAAGGTCATTCAAAGGAGAAGGATAGATAAATAGTGAT